TTTATTTTTATTTTTTATTTTTTTAATGACCAATCGTTTGGCTAGATAAGACTCTTATTCCTCAGCTGGGATTGTGTAGAGACTTTTGAAGCTGCATTGAAACTGCAATTTGGATCTTGGCCACCACTGTAGTCCACTATATGGAGAAAAATCCTGGAAAGTTTTCCTAAAAAAAAAACGTTTTTGTCAGAAAAATATCCATATTTCAAATGTAATAAACACTTTTCTATCACTTCCGCTATCTGTCATACGTGGAAGCAGTTCCGGCGGATGACGTAAGACGTCAGCGTTGTGTGATTAGTGACGAACGCGAAGAGAGAACAAAACAAAACACTGGTCATGAATTAGAAGTACAAACCGAGGATTTGTAAAGAAAAATGTCGGAGGATTTCGATATAAGCCAAGAGGAGACTGGTTTTCCTTGGCTAAAGTAAGAAACCTTTGCTTCCTTAAACTCGTGAGACTAGCATATCTCAGAGGCGCGTGCGCGACGTATACGCTACATCCTACGTCATCCATATGCAGTGTTGGGGGTAACGCATTACAAGTAACACAAGTTACGTAATCAGATTACTTTTTTCAAGTAACTAGTAAAGTAACACATTAATTTTTAATTTACAAGAGAATATCGGAGTTACTTTTTCGTAACGCAAGTTACTTTTTTTTTCCAATTTATTGATTGACAGCTCTACTGTCCCCATGTTGAGAGAAATCAGAAGATGTTACTGTAGTTCTAAAATAAACATGAATATGCATTAATTCATCTCACTCACAAAAAAAACACATTCAGTATTCCTCAAAATGAATAAAAAGAATGCAACTCAGAATATGACGCAAACCTGCAATAATTAAATGTTAAACAACACAAATATCCTTTATGTATTTAATCCCATTCTATTAACCAATGTCTTTGCTTCTGATCCAGTTAAACCATATAAATAAGCAAAAATTACTCTAGACAAACATCTGTGTGTCTTTTTTTATTTCTTACAAAAACGCATGGATTCGCTACAGGAGGCTTTTATTCACCCACCGGAGCGGCACATTTTATTATGGATGCGCGCGCTTTATTTAACGTGTTTTGGACTGTTGAACAGAAACACCTACTGACTGCAATGATAGAGCTTAGAAGTGCCAGGACAATTTTTAATATAACTCCGACTGGATTCGTCTGAAAGAAGAAAGTCATATACACCTAGGATGGCTTGAGGGTGAGTAAAACACAGGCTAATTTTCATTTTTGGGTGAACTAACCCTTTAATCAAACACCCCTGAACAAGGCGATCAAGGTCTTCAGGATTACTAGACAGCTACAGGTAGGGTTGGAGCTAAACTCTGCAGGACAGTGGACCTTGAGGGCCAGAGTTGCCCAGCCTTGTTCTAAAAGTACCACATTTCAACTGTACAGTAGGATTAAAAGTTCGATTTCCTACAGTTATTAAAAAGTCTAAAAGTAATGGTTTATGCAGATTGTTCATCATAAAGGAGAGGCATGAAGGCCCCAAAAAGTGTTCTACCTCAGACTCATTCATATTACAGCCTCACCCTTAACGACCTTTAAAAATTAGAGTGAAACGATGAGTTGACAATGCTGTTGGAGCCCCAGATTCAACTCTAAGACTAAATCTAACCCTAACCCAAACATCTGATGGGTCAACAGGAAAGCTGCTCCAGGACCAACTAGTATATGGATCCAGGAACACGTCTTACTTGGCAAAATCAAGTTCACATCTACCTGTTATGGCTCCTTGCATGTTTCCAACTCAGAGATCTTAAATTTACTCCAGGGAGTGACAACATCACTCTGAATTCCTGAAGTATTCCAGATTATTGCAGCATCAGAACTGCGAGTAATTAGCATTCTGTGCAGAACTTGGCACCACAAAAGTCCCCACTTGCTCAATCCAGAGGCTGGATAAAATAACTTACTGCAAAACTATAGAGTTTTGCCTCGAGAAAGGGAAGGATATCCGCCTTGTCACACAGCTAAGGCCATCTCAGGTTATTGGAAAAGAAAACTCAATGTGGCATCGCCGAGAAGCACCGCAATGAGGTTTTTACACTAGCATGCTAGCAGTTAAACACTTGCATCCCTTCCTCATCACTGAGGTTCACACACCCTCCTTCATCATCGAGCTCATCTAGCTGCAAGCTTCCAAATGAGTACTTGTTTCTGGGGAGGCGGGACGAACTACGGGTGGCTTGGTTTTCAAACCCCAGCGATTGGCTGCAGGAGCCAGTAGACTCCGCCTCTTCTGAGTCGCTAGTGTCTGTTCCACTACTGGTGGAGCCGTCAATCATCTGCACAGCCCCGAAGCGACGGTGTGGGGAGCTTGGCTTAAGATTGGCCTTGCCGGGAGGCGTGAGCCCATTGGCCAGCATTCGGCGCTCCAACATGGCCATTCTCTCGGCACGGGAGAGAACGGGAGGGTGTGGCTGATTCGAGACGCGCATGTTTCTTTCTAACTGGTTAACGGTGTTCTGGGACTTGTTTGCTGAACGATTCATAATTGGGGAGCAGCTACTAAATAGTCCCCCTCTTTCCTCCCATCCTGCTTTTGAACTAAAGCTCCGCCCAGTGTATCCATTATACTGGGCGTAGCTTAGGGAGCTGGTCCTGTGAATTGAGGAGGGGGCAGGGCTAGAGGTCAGGCTTCGGGTGCCTGTGTGGTGGTTTAAGGAGCTTTTTGTGGCCAACTCTTCCAATAGTGTGCTATGAAGCGGCACACGTACCCTGCCTCCAAAAAATGGCGACTCGAAAATGTTAGCACTTTGATTTGGAGAGGAGGGGCTTGGGTAGCTGTGGGCGGGGCTTGTGGCTTGGCTTACAGGGGAAAGAGGCAGAGACTCTCTCTGCCTGAACTTGCCCAAGTATCTGTCCTGCTGGTGTGACCGGGGCAAACCAAACCCGGTGCCATAAGCGCTGTCACTGTTGCCATCGCGTGTGTGCGAGTGTGACCTGCTGACCCGACCTCTGACTTCCTGTTCGCTAAACTCTGCATCACTGCAGTCAATGTACGGGATGGATGAGCTGCTGCCTTTAGCTGCATGGGACGCCAGACCTGCTCGATCGACGGGCTGCTGCTTGGCTGCCGGGCTTCTGCTGTCCTCCTGAATGGTGTACGTTTGGTCGCTGCATCCGTTGCGCTGAGACGATGTAGAGGAGTTTCCACATGGTCTTATTACCGCAGAATCTTCTGAGCTTACTAAAAATGAGCCCTCCCAGCTCTGCTTGACAGCCTGAGGGAGGAAGAGAGAAGGGTATGAGTCTTTCATCAGTACCTGCACATTACAGGTTCCAGAGTACTCTGGGTTCTACATGAGTCATGGGCTACCAATCACTCAACGTAATCGACTTGTCATGAACAGCAGTGCAATTACAAAGGAAGTCTAGGGGCCAGCATTCCAGAGGGTGTAGAAGCAGAAATGTAACCCTGGACCACAAAACCAGTCATAAGGGTACATTTTATTTCAAATTGAGCTGAATAAATAAGCTTTCCATTGGTGCATGGTTTATTAGGATAGGACAATATTTGGCCGAGACACACCTATTTGAAAATCTGGAATCTGAGGGTGCAAAAAAAATCTAAATATTGATTGCCTTTAAAGTTATCCAAATTAAGTCCTTAGTAATGCATATTACTAATCAAAAATTAAGTTTTGATACGGTAGGAAATTTACAAAATATGTTTACTTAATATCCTAATCATTTTTGACATAAAAGAAAAATCGATAATTTTGACCCATACAATGTATTGTTGGCTATTGCTACAAATATACCCGTGCTACTTATGACTGATTTTGTGGTCCAGGGTCACAAATGTGAGGTTTTTTCCTGAATTAAATTTTTTTTATCTATATATACTGTATATATTTTTTTATTGTCCTTTTTTAGGGCGGAACTACTTATCTATGTGGCTGAACCTCTGGTAATGCCAGCACGTGGTTAAGGGTGGAATTTGCTGTGTGAATAGTAGTTTGCAGATAGTTACATCATGACTCTTTCTGCTATTCTTGCCAGGGCTGGATTATAAACTGGACCACTGGGATCATTGCCCTGCAGTCCATTGATTCAGTCATTCATTTATATTAATCATTTAACAAATTATACTAATTTAAAGGTGCATTCAGTAGTTGTTAGTGTTAGCGTTGCTGTTCTTTGTGTATTTTAAGTACTAATACCTAAATGGTGTTAGACTCTTCACTGTCATCTGTTGCATGGATCTGCATGACCGTCTCTCAGTTTTATGTAAATTACACTAATACTAGTGAGTTTTAGAAAGCGGATTACACAGTAATTAATTCCCTTATTTGTCCAACCAAAAAGAAGCAACTTGGGCATCGCTACTCAGGATTTTCTCAGTCAAATGTTTTCACCTTTTTTATAGCATGCTGATGTTTATGATTGTTTTAGTTTTTCTGTCTTCTGGCTTCAGACATTTTCTGCTTCTTCAGCCATACAGCTAATTCTCCTATTGTCTCTGATGGTAAATCATGATAATAGCTCTGTTCCATTGACTAATTTTTGAAACTACACTATGCAACTATCTACCGAGACAATGGTCAATGAGCGTGAGGCTTTTCTTTGAGGCCATACATAATTAAAGGCATCATGAGCTGAGAAATCAAAGTTCCCTTGATCTTTCGACATAAGAGGTCATTGTACGATAAAAACATCCTGTAAGTTTCAGGACTCAAAACTTTTTTCATTAGTCAACTTTTACTGAATCTGATCTGCCAAAACGACAGCTTGTGGAATGTGTCACTCTATGATGTAATAGTGTGGATAAGCACCGCCTCCACAGAAGAAGCTCAACGCCTGCTTCTACATCGCTGCCTGTTTAGCCCCGCCCACCGATTCACGCATATAGTGTTTACGAGAGAGGCGATGCTGCGAAGACATCAAGACGCTGTGCAGTGCCAAGTTATGGAAAAACATAGTCTTTGCATTGCCTTCCTTCTGATCCCAATGTTAGGAAAGAGAGATTGAACTTTATTTTTAAATGAAGCTCCAGACTGTGTCGTTTTACGCGGATTCGTTTACAAACAAGGCACGATTCGACGCAGGGTTTTTAGAAAGATTAAAACTAAAAGACGATGCTGTGCCAACTATATTGAATCCGACAGTAATGTCGCAACACACAAGTGTGAGTAACCGTTTTTATTACATGATCACTATTGCTTTGTCTCTTCTTACAGATCATTTGATATGTACTGAGTATTTATGCATTTTTAACCTAAATTACAGCAGCGTCCATCTGTTAATGATGTATGCTGTCAAACATACACAACTATTAGCCAATCACAGCAGTGGGCGTTGACTTCTGTGTCTACAATTCACCGCACATATTCAAACAGAGCGTTCTGATGAGAGGGGGACAAAACAGACAGAAAAAAGCCTATTTCCTCTAAATTATGATGATATGATTTTTTCATATACAAATCTTGATTACATTATAAGTGGACTTATACAGTAGAACAGTAGAAAATAAGTAAAAAGGCAGGTTATGACCCCTTTAAAATACTTTTTTTTTTTATTTTTTTTTTAGAAAATGATTAGTACAGTCTTCATTATGTTTCAGTATATATTTCTTATGTATATCCTTGCACTGGCTACCGGTCGCGGCTCGAATCAAGTTCAAGACATTGATGCTTGCATATAGAACAGCCACAGGCTCAGCACCCGCCTACTTCCACTCACTACTACGAATCTACATCCCCTCCAGAAGTCTGAGATCCGCTAGTGAGCGA